AGCCGCAGAGACAGTCTGTCGTTCTCCTAGTCACTATGTAAGTATTCCATTAAACGTCATGTTTGTACGCGTAATAAAATTGTCGTCATTCATTTCCTCTTAACGCTTCAGGCACCTTTAGATATTTGTCGTTTCTTCAGTGCCGCTTTCTAAAAAAATCGACACGTTACATCACCATGTATCTTGCATTTGCGACGGAAGTCGATGTGTAGCGTAGATTTAAATATTATTTCCCGACTTTTATGAATGATTATCATATTTTAATGATGAAATAAAAATTTCTTTGCTTTCTCATGAGCACAGACCTCCAAGGGATGTCCTAAAGACATCCAGAGCATACTCTACATCCTAAGGACGTCCCTCTGCTAAAGTGTTGTGCTGTGTGGGTTTATCTTTTATTCTGTTTAATGAAATAACAATTTTAATCTATCTTTTATATTTATTTTATTTAACGTTATTATAAGCAATCACTAAATTCTTTAACACCTTCCAAATTCATTATTTCGTAGCAATGATTATTTAGAATTTTTTTTATTTTTACGCTAATCGATTATTCATTCCATTAACTTTTTGTTCTCGACTGCTGCCAATCGAAAGTTGATAAAAACGGAGGGAATGTGCGTTTCACCGAGGTCGAAGCTTTGTTACTTTAGTTCTCAATGACTACATAGTTTAACATCAACTTCCGCATATGAGCTTCTTACTAACCAAGCTTGGTTTAAAGGATATAATTATTATTATTATAAACAGTGTTAAATGTTATAAACAATGAGAAAATGATACTTTTAACTCGATCTTAGTACACACGATTGGATCATTCGTGTCCTGCACACTTTTTTTCTTCAATAAAATAGAAGCATCAAGTAATTAATGATACAATTTTTTAAATACACAAATACTTTCTGTTGGTGATTTATGTATGAATCACTTAAAGTTAACAGAGTTAAGAATGATCTATTGTATGTATTAAAGATTAATATTCTCTCGTTGCGTATTACTAAGACGGTTCGTCCGTCTCGTGAATCTGCTCGAAAGTCAAGGAATTCGCGAGGCTGCGCGCTTTCACTCGGATTCACTGCGGTGTTTTAGGCCGAGAGATGGTGACGGTCAAGGTGACAAGGAAATCTTCATGTACGACGTGACCTCTGGAGCCGTTAGCAAGCTAGCCGGTGATCTCTCGACGGCCTTCGTAGATGCCGCCGAGAGCAACTCTGACGGCACCGATTCTATCGACGATTCTACCTTCTCGACGTTTTAATTAGTTCATAAAAAAAAAGCTATTTCTCGAAATATTAAAAAATGTTTAATCCACGGTCTGACGCAGAATTTTTTTTTGAGAGATTGTACAATATGGATATATTCAAGATTTTGTCTTGTTGCGGGTGTAAAGAAAGTTCTTTGCATAATGTATAATACTTTCCGACTTTAACTAAATGATTTTTACTAAACGGAATTTAAAACTTTTTTGTCGTTTCGTGATGAAGGAGAAAGAATTGATTTAGGTCTGTGTGTTGCTTATGCGATAATGAATGTCAATGGTTAAATGCTGATGAAAAACAATGTAAAAACAATTATTTTTCGACATCGTGTGATGTGCTTTTTTATGTGATTTGGGCAAAAATGTAGGAAAGAGGATAAGGATTTCGGAGTGAGGCGAAGAATCGCAGCGTGGCAAATTACTTCGAGTATCCTTGTAGATATCTTAACTATGTATTATTATGTACATATAAGAATAATTTTGTACTTTTTTATACGAAATAAAACGCAGTCTTTTTATGTTCGCATGGTGCATTCCATATGTCCGGATCGAAATTAGAAAAATATCATTTATGATATTTATATTTACAACATTTATATATATAATCTCTAAAAGTTATATAATATTAAAATCTCCAGGAATCCTATTTTTTAATAACAGAAGAAAAAATGTTTTTCAGTTAAGAAGAGAATTTTAAAAAGAAGTTTTTAATTATTAAAAATTTTTTTAATAAAGTTAGAAATATAAAAAAAATAAAAATTAACAAAAGAGGTGAATTAAAAGATGTCAGAAATAAATAAAAAAAATTTAATATTAATAATAATGCTCAAATACTATCATGTATTTCAAAACTACAGTCTTTTTCAGCTAAGAATTTTGAAACATTTAATAATATAGAAGGAAAAAAACATCGTGAAAAAAAAATACTTATTGATAAAATAACACAAAAAATATTACTGAAATATTTAACGATATAATATATATTATTATACAGGAGACATTAAAATAGATAATCAAATTTTTCAGTTTCCTAAAAAAACGACATGTCGCGCGATTGACGCCGTTTCATATTCATATTTCTACACGCCACGTGCGCAAGACGGTTCGAAGTTACTCGAAAGTTCTCGAAAACTGCCGAGTCAAAGTGTCAGAGAGGACAGAGGACCACAAGCGCTAGTGTCGCTTCAGTCGCTACGAACAAAAAACGGTCATCAATGAACGCTAATGATAGATGGTTGATGTACAATCTTTCTCGTATTATTTCTCTATTGTACTATTAGTTCGTAATACGAAAATCATAACACGAGTTGTTTCTTTGATAAATCATAATAAAAGAAGGTATGTTGATTATATATCATTAGTATACATGTCCGATCTGTTACGATTTCGCTGCGATTAATCTAACCAAGTAAGTTAGGTTAGGTTTACTAATCGACGATTATTGGAAATTTTAGGATTCAGTTTGAATAGACCCGAAAACTATGTCAAATTGGCGATCGAGTCATGCGATGGAGCGACGAGATACGTATAAAAATAACAGAGAGATCAGGCGTGACAGGAGTAACGAGACTTACAGGGATAGATCGCAGAGAAGCAGGGACAGAGATCACAGAAGTGGTAGACGCGATCACTCTAGGAGAGATGATGAGAAGCAGAATGACAAGAGGAAACACGAGAGATCACCATTGAGGAGGGAGAATAGTCATCCCAGGCACAGAGAACGTAATGAGAGGAGCCGAAGTAGAGACAGAAGAGACGATTCCAGCAGAAGACGCAATGATCAACACAAGCAAAAGCGAAGTCCAGAGGAGACGAGAATGAAGAGGGAATCCTCCACAGAATGGGGAAAATCGACTGTAAAGGAGGAGAAAGAAAAGCCCAACTTTGAGTTGTCAGGAAAATTGACAGAGGACATGAATACTGTCAATGGAGTAGTTATCAAATATTCTGAGCCTCTTGACGCCAAAAAACCAAAGCGTCGATGGAGGTTATATCCCTTCAAAGGCGAAAAGGCGTTACCTACATTGTACATACATCGGCAGTCGGCGTATCTTATGGGCAGAGATCGCAAGGTAGCTGATATACCTTTAGATCATCCTTCATGTTCTAAGCAACATGCTGCTCTGCAATATCGTTTAGTCTCTTATCAAAAAGAAGGTGGTGTTGAGGGTAGAAGAATACGACCATATATTATTGATTTAGAATCCGCAAATGGTACCTTTGTAAATAATGTCAAATTAGAACCAAGGAGATATCATGAATTATTGGAAAAGGATGTGGTACGGTTTGGCTTTAGTACCAGAGAATATGTTCTGTTGCATGAACATAGTAAGGACGATTCCTTTGATGATGATGTACCTCTTACAAATGAGACCTAGGTAAATAAATTTTTATTATGTTACTTTTAAATATTATATTAAATTATTATATTATTTACATACTTGTTGAGATTAAATGTTATAAATTAAAGAGATAGAGATTGCCAGAGTATTGTGTAAATTGTATACATTTATCAGGAGACACGGCTCCGGCTATGTTCAAAAAATATAAATATATATAACATTAAGATCTGGAGACATGGTAGTGTCTCAGTGATAAGTCAAGTTCAAAGTTACTTAAAGTATTGTAGAATTATAAAACTCTTAATGTTTTCTTGTTAACATTGGAATATAATCAGAGAGATCTAATTCATATTAACTTTTCAATTTTAATTTTTCTTATTACATCGGACTAAATATGTATTTTTTCTTTTTTACATGACCTAAAAAATATCTTATGTTATCTATCTAATTAAAAATATTTAATATATGTGTATATTTCAGGAACCGCAGGAACCTAATTCTAATAGGACAAACACCCAGAGATGAATATGTATGAAGACTGATGACAGAAATTAAGCTGAAGACCAGGACAAGCAAGATATATGTGAAAAAGGAAATCCAATATGTATGTAGATACATATGTATTTAGAGACAGTCTTATTAATAATCTTTTGAATCTTCAGAACGATTTTGAATATTAATATTATTCATGTATAAAATAACAATAATGCATGTATAAAAGCAACTTTTAAAAATTAGTGAGTTTCTAAAATATACACTGGAAATTTACTTATTTATCACAAAGAAAGCAAAATAGTATCTCATTTGTGTACATTTCCCTTTGACATTAATTTGATATCTTAGACATTAATAGATAGTTTGACATGTATCATGTAAAATTGTAAACATGTAGGTTAAAAACAACCGAAACTGATGTATATTGTTTGTAATATATTATTTACAATTATTTAGTTACAGTATTCATTCACAATTTATTTTCCTATAAAGCTACTTGAAAATACAAATTTCAAGTATAGTCAGTCCATCGATACAAACTTCGCAAGATTTTATATACATTCTAATTTATTTTTTCAATAAAAATACATACGTTTTCATGTTGTTAAAACTACGCAGAAAACTTAACAATTTCTTATATTGATTTTCATATTTGCTAATTATCATCAAACATGAAATTTGTACAATGAAATGAAACATTTCACAGATTTTATTCAATAAATATGTTATTTAAATCATAATTATAAAGTTAAACTATAAATTATATATATTTCATATTTATCTCTATTAACATATTCCTACATTAAATAACAGTTTCGCGATTATTACTAAAGTTGCAAAATTTTTACGTTCCAAAACGATCTGCCATATCTACGCGACAAATTTTTGAGTATAAAAGTTCATGTATGTACATTAAAATGGCAGTTTAAAGCTATTGTCAACTCCGCTCCTTCTATCTTTTATCTTTACATATGAAATACTTGGACATTAATGGTATAAGCAGAGCTTAATGTATGAGCGTATGTAGTTTGATATATTTAAGGCACCGCGTTCGGATAAAAAAGAAAAGAAACAAAAAAAATTTGAGCAAAATCGTAGAGACTGTCTCGAGTAATTTTTCATAGCTACAAGGCAAATCCATCTGGATAGTTTTTGGAGAAGAATAGGTCTACTATGGAGTAATCACATAAAAAAAATCTTTAAAAATAGTATGATTAGATGTGTGTAGAATCTATTGTCGTATTTTATAAATATTGGAATATTTAATTGCCTCGATTTACATCATTCAAGCTCAGGAGCGATTCGTACGAATCTCGCTTATTTATACGAAATGTTTGCATAAATCTTTAGATTTACCACGGTCGGCGACTCACGATCCATTCACTCTGACTGCGTCCACGTTTATATTTGTATACGTGACGATGTTGGTACCGTCCTCGACGACGGGCGTCTGCCGCAGTAAATTCAGCAACGTGTTGTTTATCACGAGCGGTATCTTCGCCTTGCCATTCTGCAAGTTCGAGTGAGTCCTCTGGACCTTCGGCAACATACTCTTCGTCACCACGTTCTCGCCCGAAGACACTTCCCCATTCACGGTGTTCGAGACGACGATGTTGCTCTTCAGGGACGATAGGACCGTCTGCGAATTGATCAGGGACGAACTAGGACGTGTGGAAGGCGCCAGACTATGCGAGCTACAACTTCTACCCTCAATGCTTGCCTCGGAGTCCCTTCGCTCACCCAAACTGGTCTTGTACTTCCGCTGGCCGTTCAAGGACGAGAAGGAGTCCCTTTTCAGGGTTGCTTTCGCGATCGAGTTCACCGATTTCGAGCTGTCCAAGGTATTGCATTTATCCAGCATTCCTGAAACCGATGTGCCCTTTCGATCCAGTAAGTTTAGACTAGTAATCGATGATCTTTTGTACAACTTTCTATCAGACTGCTTCTGTTCTTTCGTCGAACGTTCCTTCTGGTCTTCTGTAGTCTCCGTAGGCAGACTGCTCTTACGACTGTGACTTGTACTACTAATCCTGCTTATATTTGCTAGGTTCTGATCCGAGATGTGAATTGAGCGGGGTACTTCGTAACCATTCGTAGGATTCTCCCTTAAGACGATATCCTCATTATCCGCTAATAATTCTAAATACTTTGGAGCCTCGCCGGATTGTGGATTGAGCGTAGCGTTGTTTGAGTTTTGCAAGAAAGGTTGCATGTCTCGGCTTCCTTCGGAACTACTGGACCTCCACGAGTTGCCTATACAGAGTAACAATGAAAATGTATGGCAAAGTAACTAAATTTTATTAACTTATTAATTGCGGAACTCTAAGATTTTTTTTACGTATTTCGTGATAAGAAAATGACATTTCCGTACATTGCTTTCGTGTTTGTTATATTACTTTTATTATACAGGGTAATTCAAAATTCCCGCATCCGAAGTACAAGACGTGATACTTTATGCAAAAACAAACAACTTTTTCTTTTAACAAAATTGCGTCCGACAAGTAGTTTTTTTTGCAGTAGAGCAGGTTGAAGTTAACGAATAAGCGTTCTTGTCTACATGGCGCTCAGGGCCGGCGCGCGCTCCTTTTTCGCGTGTACCTCGGCTATTATTTAACAATAACATTTGAAGATTCAAATATGGCTTTGTTATAAATTAGTTTATGACAT